ATATAATTTAATGGAAACTTAAAAGAAAAAAGAAAATGTCATTTTCAAATAGTATGGCTCTATTTACAATCCAGGTGGGTGAGAAAGGGAAAAAATATCTATATAGATGGATCAAAAACCTACTCTACTTGTTTTGTTTTTGCTTTTGGTAGCTCTTCCCTTTTGTTTTCGACTTCATTACCACCTTGTTTTCCAATAGTTTCCTTCTTGAGTCGTTTAGGTAAGATGAAGAGTTGTAAGACGTTCCTGGCCTTCGAATTGATATGGAAACCCTCTCGGTGCTGTTTCCCGCATTTCTCACCCTCTCTGTCATCCAGTTTTCCATAGCCGAGGCTGTTTCTCCTTGTCACCAGTCAAATATTAAACACGACGCTGGAAGAGAACCTTAAATATTATTTTAATCTCAAGCTCTCTGTTATTGCAAGTGGCAGGTGCAGCGTTTCTTGTAAATACTTGGGAAAGAGCCAGGCACAGAACACACCAGAGGGTTTGGGTGGGAGTTGCCGAAGGCACAAAAGCGCCTCATTGCGAGTGGGCACATTGAGGAATAACAACAGGGGTGCAAAGGGAGGAAGGCAAGAAAGTGCCCACTCGGGTAATTTCTCTACTCTACAAATGTTTTTTTTTCCTAGAGCTCAGTTTTGAGTTGAGCTCATTGCCTTCACTCTTCATTCCCTCCCCTCTAGACCATCGTCTGCACTGCCGAACTGAAGTGGTATCCACACCCGGGACTGATCCACTGCCACAAAAGTTGTGAGGTGAGCATCTACAAAGTCATTGTGCTCCATTTGTTGTGAGATTGCTGAGCTGGGAACTCATAGTTCCCATCCCGGTTCAGAAGGAGAGGAAGGAGCTGCCAGTGACCAGACATCCCTCTTCGAGACAAAGCAATCGCATTGTGCTCTCATCTTGGCTGAAATTCTGCAAAGTGACTTCATTGTGCTCCCATCTTGGCTGAAATTCTCCATTGGGAGATATCAGTCTATCGTGTAGTTTGCTCTTCAAATGCAAACCCTGCCAACACACCCTAGAATAACAAGCTCCACCTCCACTGCCATATAATGCACTTTGACAACATTGAACTATGTTATATGTCGGTGTAGACCAGTGCTTCCCAACCTGTGATCTGTGGACCACCAGTGGTCCGCAATAACTAAAATATGGTCCACTGCCTCACCATAACTACACCGTTGCAACAAGAACAATTGGTCTCACAAAACCCTCTTATAATGCCAAAAGGGTGAGAAAAGCGGTACACAAACGAAGCAAATAAATAAATAATAAATAAATGGGGATGTCAGGAGGGGACAGGTAGATTACCCGTGAAAGGAATGACAACAAGCCTCCTGACTGCTGCTGCTTCTCCTCCTTCTCCCCCGCCCCCTAGTAGAGCCGTTCCATGTGGCGCCTGGAATCGGGGGTGCCTTGTCTTTGTTTTTAGGCCTGTTCCTGGGGTTATTTGGGGTGCCATCAAAAAATTGCATTGGATAGACCACATCAGCTCTAGATTATTAAATATGGTTTCCTGTGGGCGGGTAGATGGTGAGTACTGGATGGCATAGGTTCTGTATCAGAAACTAGAACTGATGTGGTGGATCCAATGCAGTTTTCTGAATCAGCACCACAAATAACCAAACCGAATCTAAAGTTGACCAAAAACTGATTCGTAACCCTTTTGGTACTAATGTTGGAGAGTGGTCCCTGGTCAAGTCCTCCCGGGTCAAAGTGGTCCCTGGTCAAATGGTCTCTGGTCAAAATGGTTGCTGGTCAAGTGTTCCCTGGTCAAAGTGGTCTCTGGTCAAAGTGGTCCCTGGTCAAAGTGGTCCCTGGACAAAGTGGTCTCTGGTCAGGTCATACTGGGTCAAAGTGCTTCCTGGTCAAGTGGTATCTGGTCAAGTGGTGTCTGGTCAAGTCATCCTGGGTCAAAGTGGTCCCTGGTCAAGTGGTCTCTGGTCAAGATGGTCACTGGTCAAAGTGGTACCTGGTCATGTGTTCCCTGGTAAAAGTGATCTCTGGGCAAAGTGGTCCCTGGTCAAACTGGTCCCTAATCAAGTAGTGTCTGGTTAAATGGTCTCTGGTCAAAGAAAGGTTGGAAAACACTGGTGTAGACTCCTTGCCCAGTTACACGATGTAACACAATTTTTGTTCCTGGGCTATAAATGTCATTTCCTAATTGGCTCTATCATAAAAACATTGAAAAAGTTTCTTAAACTGCAAAAACTTTGTCTTTGCGGGAGAGACATCCTGCAGCACATTTTGCTTTAGTCTTTCCATGAATAATATCTCATAGAGTTTCGACCAATTCAATATAATTTGTGGCAGCCACATAAACCAAGTTCCTGGAGTAGAACAATGTAAACACTGAACAATTAAGCAGAAAGTAACACTTTCAAACCAGGAACGGAATATATTTCAAATGTTGTTACAATATGTTATGGACGCCACTGTCTTTTTCTCCTCAAATGAGGTCAATTCCATATCAACGGGGTTGTCCATCCACTCTGGAATCCGGATAACTGTAAAGGAGCTCTCCAAAGTGCTGAATCTATTTTGGATTGTGGTCAAGCATACCTTTTAACACCTAGACTAAAACAAGGCTGCAGATTAGTCCTCTCCTCAACAAGCGTGCTACCAGCCATCAGTTTCCTATTACAAAATTGATTGGCTTTTTGCAGCTATATAAATGCCTCTTGCGCTGAGTTTTTTCCCTCTTCTATGCAGCATGAAAGCAGAATTTGATCCTCTTCCTTTTTGCATCTGCGTCCTTTCCTTTGGAGAGGAGGTAGCATCACCTTGACTGACTCTCAATTCCAATGGTTGGCAAATTTTAAAAGGGAGCAAAGTTTAGGGGGTTTACAAGGTAACGTGTGCTTCCACCGGAGCTGTGTGCAGAATTCGGAGCTGGATTTGAGATGCTAGTATTTGTTTCCTTTTGGCTGAGAAAGTAAGCTTTTCTACTAACGAACTAGCTTGGGTACTCAGCATTGCCTGTGTTATTTCAATTGTTCAAGATGTATAAGGTTGTGGGTGAACTACAACTCACATCATGCCAGATTAACCCCGAGAAACTCCATCAGAACTTAAAGTTTGTCATGTTGGGCAACTTTGCTCTAGATGCATCATCGGTGCAGTTCAGTGTGCTCTCTGGTTGTAGGGTAAACTACAACTCCCACTATGGTGAAACAGTCCCTCCAAAACCCTCCAGTAGGTTGAGTTAATCATGGAGGTTCTATGTGCCAAGTTTGGTCCAAGTCCATCGTTACTGGAGGTCACAGTTTCTCTTGTTGTGGGTGAACTACAACTCCCAGAAAGGAAGGTCAGTCCCCCGTCCCCCCCGCCCAAACCCCTCGAGTAATCAAATTTCAGCATATCAGGTATGTCTATCAGTGTTTGGTTTCATAGTGCACTCTGGATGTAAGTGAACTACAATTCCCACCAAATCAACGTGAATCCCCAAAGACATCCAGTAATTTATTGATTTATTGATTTTGGTCATGGGGGCTCTGTGTGCCAAATTAACTCCAGGTCCATCATTGGTGAGTTCAGAGTGCTCAGTGATTGTAGGTGAACTATAAATCCCAGTGTAGTATCCTGGCGGTGGGTGCGTAGGTGACTGTGGAGATTCTTGATCTGCATCTTCTCCCGCAGTGAGGGCATTGGTTTCCAGGTGGAAGGCTGTCCCGGTCAGGGTTGGCTTGACACACCTTCCTCTTGGCATGTTTCTCTCTTTTGCCTTCCATTTGTGCCTCTTCAAATTCTACAGCACTGCTGGTCACAGCTGACCTCCAACTGAAGCGCTCAAGGGCCAGGGCTTCCCAGTTCTCAGTGTCTATGCCATAGTTTTCAAGATTGGCTTTGAGCTCACCTTTAAATCTCTTTTTGACCCATTTGTGCCTCTTCAAATTCTACAGCACTGCTGATCACAGCTGACTTCCAACTGGAGCACTCAAGGGCAGGGCTTCCCAGTTCTTGGTGTCTATGCCAGAGTTTTTAAGGTTGGCTTTGAGCCCATCTTTCAATCTCTTTTCCTGTCCTCCAACATTCCGTTTTCCGTTCTTGAGTTTGGAATAGAGCAACTGCTTTGGAAGACAGTAGTCAGGCATCCGGACAATGTGTCTGGTCCAGCAGAGTTGATGGCGGAGGACCATCACTTCAGTGCTGGTGGTCATTGCTTCTTCCAACATTCTGACATTTGTCCGCTTGTCTTCCCAAGAGATTTGCAGGATTTTTCGGAGGCAGCGCTGATGGAATCATTCCAGGAGTTGAGTGTGACATCTGTAGACAGTCCACGTTTTGCAGGCATATAACAGCTTTGGGAGGACAATAACTTTATCAACAAGCACCTTGGTCTCCCTACGGATGTCCCAATCGTCAAACACTCTCTGCTTCATTTGGAAGAATGCTGCACTTGCAGAGCTCCAGCAATGTTGTATTTCAGTGTCAATGTTTTGTGGAGAGGTGGCTGCCAAGGGATGGAAATGGTCAACATGTGACGTCTGTAGACAGTCCACGTCTCACAGGCATATAGCAATTATTCTACTTATCTAATTTTCCTGGTTCCAACCTGCAAAGTGTTGGAGAGTATGAGCACGTCTGCAGAAACACAGAGAAGGGAGGGCAAGGGTTGCGGAAATTAGGAAATAAACAAGTGAAACACTCTTCTCCTGGATCATGAAAGTGTTGATGCTCTTCTCCAATTCTGCAAGGCTGTGTTTACATCTGCAGAAAGCCGTAATGGTGACTAAAAGAAAAGAAACCCACAAAAAAACCTACTGGGGTCTAAAATGTTTCTGCGTCCCCTTGAAATATTTATGAGCATGACCTTGGCTCTTTCGAAATGAAGCAGGAGTCAAACTGTCCTCACGGATTCTTCTTCGGATGTCTCAATGCTTAAAAAAACAAGCACACCATGCAGTTAATTAGGATCCAAGCGGCAAGTGAAACCATAGTTGCTTTTAGCTGTCTGTCCTCTGAGTCCCCGTCCCTCCATCTTTCCCCCAATGTATTTTCTGTGGAAGGACAAGTGTCCCCTTTCAGAAGTCAAAGGAACCAAAGAGGGCAAAATTAGGATTTTAAATTGTCTCTATGTATCTGCAAACTAGAGGCATTGCTCTAGGTCACAAATAGAATCATAGAACCCTAGAGTTGGAAGAGACCTCATGGGCCATCCAGTCCAACCCCATTCTGCCAAGAAGCAGGAATATTGCATTCAAAGCACCCTCAACAGATGGCCATCCAGCCTCTGTTTCAAAGCTTCCAAAGAAGGAGCCTCCACCACACTCCGGGGCAGAGAGTTCCACTGTTGAACAGCTCTGACAGTCAGGAAGTTCTTCCTCATGTTCAGATGGAATCTCCTTTCTTGTAGTTTGAAGCCATTGTTCCGTGTCCTAGTCTCCAGGGAAGCAGAAAACAAGCTTGTTCCCTCCTCCCTATGACTTCCTCTTGCATATTTATACATGGCTGCCCGACTGCTCATTGGAGGGAAGGGTACTAGAGACAAAGTTGAAGTACTTTGGCCACATCATGAGGAGCCAGCAAAGCCTAGAGAAAACAATTATGCTGGGGAAAGTGGAAGGCAAAAGGAAGAGGGGCCGACCAAGGGCAAGATGGATGGATGGCATCCTTGAAGTGACTGGACTGACCTTGAAAGAGCTGGGGGTGGTGACGGCCGACAGGGAGCTCTGGCGTGGGCTGGTCCATGAGGTCACGAAGAGTCGGAGATGACTGAACGAATGAACAACAACATCATGTCTCCTCTCAGCCTTCTCTTCTGAAGGCTAAACAGGCCCAGCTCCTTAAGCCACTCCTCATAGGGCTTGTTCTCCAGACCCTTCATCATTTTAGTCATCCTTCTGTGGACACATTCCAGCTTGTCAATATCTCTCTTCAGTTGTGGTGCCCAGAATTGGACACAGTATTCCATGTGTGGTCTAATCAAGACAGAATAGAGGGGATCTAGACATTAGTTGGCTTTTTTTGCCACTGCATGACATTGTTTGCTCATGTTTAACTTGTTGTCCACAAGGATTCCAAGATCTTTTTCACACATCCTGCTATCAAGCCAGGCACTGTCTGCTACCTTGGCAGCCACCTCTCCACCAAAGTCAACATCAACACCGAAATACAACACCTCCTGAGCTCTGTGAGTGCAGCAATTTTTTTGAATGAAGCAGAGAGTGTTTGAGGACCAGGACAACTGTAAGGATACCAAGGTGCTTGTCTATAAAGCTATGGTCCTCCCAACCCTGCTATATGCCTGCGAAACGTGGACTGTCTAGAGACGTCACATGCGACTCCTGGAATGATTCCATCACCGCTGACTCCGGAAAATCCTGCAAATCTCTTTGGAAGACAAGCGGACAAACGTCAGCATGCTGGAAGGAGCAAAGACCACCAGCATTGAAGCGATGGTCCTCCGCCATCAACTCCACATTGTGCGGATGCCCGACCACCGTCTCCCAAAGCAGTTGCTCTACTCCGAACTCAAGAATGGAAAACGGAATGTTGGAGGAGATAGGAAAAGAGATGTAAAGACGGGCTCAAAGCCAACCTTAAGAACTCTGGCATAGACACTGAGAACGGAGAAGCCCTGGCCCTTGAGCGCTCCAGCTGGAGGTCAGATGTGACCAGCAATGCTGCAGAATTTGAAGAGGCACGAATGGAGGGTGAAAGAGAGAAACGTGCCAAGAGGAAGGCGCGTCAAGCCAACCCACGAGACCGACTCCCACCTGGAAACCAATGCCCTCACTGCGGGAGAAGATGCAGATCAAGAATAGGGCTCCAGAGTCACCTACGAACCCACTGCCAGGACACCAACTTGGAGGACCATCATCCTCGGACTATGAGGGATCGCCTAAGTAAGTAAGTAAGTGTCCCCCATTCTGTATCTTTGCATTTCCTTTTTTTCTGCCCAAGTGGAGTATCTTACATTTGTCCCTGTTGAACTTCATTTTGTTAGTTTTGGCCAATCATCTCTCTAATCTGTGAAGATCATTTTGAATTTTGCTCCTGTCTCCTATAACATAGAATGTATTATATGTTACATGCACCTAGCGCAGGCATGAAGAACTTTTTTTTTCCAATCAAGGTTTCCTTGGGAAGAAAAACATGTTTTTCAACCATTACTGCAACATATTCCCATACTCTTTTTACCTCTAATTCTATCCTCACAATATTCTGATACTAATCCAATATAATCCACTGAAGTTAGTGGAAAGAGGATGGGAAGAAAAACATGTTTTTCAACCATTACTGCAACATATTCCCATACTCTTTTTACCTCTAATTCTATCCTCACAATATTCTGATACTAATCCAATATAATCCACTGAAGTTAGTGGAAAGAGGATTGGAACAATCCCTTGTTTCTTGGGAATGCCAGATTTGTATGGAACAGTGAAGATGTCCCTTTGAAGTCTATTTTTGTTTACAAACAAGAGCCACATCCACTGTTTTAATGTGGTGAGATGTATTCCACACTGGGCATGCATAGTCAACCTGGGATTGTGGCGCAGCTGGTTGAGTGTCAGCTGCATTAAAGATCACTTTGACCAAAAGGTCATGAGTTCAAAGCCAGCCTGGGTTGGAGTGGGTTTCCAACCAATTGTGTGTAGCCTGTTGTCGACCTTTGCAACCCGAAAGACAGTTGCATCTATCAAGTAGGAAAATTAGGTACCACATTAAAGTGTGGGGAGGCTAAATTAACTCATTTATGAGTCCATAAAGAAGACTCCAGCAAAGCATTCCAGCGGGGAAGCATGCGGAGAATGCAGAAGTGCTTCATCAGCGTCGCAGATGGACGATGAAAGCGACAGCTCCCCTGGCGACCAGAAAAAGTTAAATAGCCTCTGTCTATGTCTGTATATGTTTGTATGACAAAAATTGGCATTCAATGTTTGCCATATATGTGTACACTGTAATCCACCCTGAGTCCCCCGCGGGTGAGAAGGGCAGAATATAAAAAAGCTGTAAATAAATAAAAAAAATAGTCAAGCGCAAGGGCAGATGTCTTCACTGTGTCTGGTTGTGATCCCCAGGTTGTGCCAGCCAGCTTTCATATGGTATTATTTCTAGCATCCACTTCCTCCCTTCTCAGTGTTCTCTCTCTTTTCCCCATCTTCTAGCCTTTCATGGGAGATAACTATTGTGACTCCAGCAACAACCGAGCCTTTTGTAACTACGATGAAGGAGACTGTTGTGCCTCGACAGTGAAGACGAAAAAGGTACATCTGGGTTGAAGCCCTTCATTGGTATGTCTTCCATTAAACCTGTCATGTTCCTCCATTTCTTCAATGAAGTACACATTTTCGTATTAGCAACTTTTAATTACAGTCCTTCAAGCAGGTAGTTAGTCATTGCAAGCCTTAATATTATACTGGTGTCTCCAAAATTATTAGCTCCATACATTCTTCCATCCTTCCATTCATTCCCACATATCAAATTACTTTTACATTTCTCAAATGTGCATATTAATTTTTTGTGACACAAATAAATGAACTTGATGAAACTCAAGTAGAATAATAGAAACCTAGAGTTGGAAGAGACCTCATGGGCCATCCAGTCCAACCCCTGCCAAGAAGCAGGAATATTGCATTCAAAGCACCCCTGACAGATGGCCATCCAGCCTCTGTTTAAAAGCTTCCAAAGAAGGAGCCTCCACCACACTCCGGGGCAGAGAGTTCCACTGCTGAACGGCTCTCACAGTCGGGAAGTTCTTCCTCATGTTCAGATGGAATCTCCTTTAGTGTTGTAGTTGGTATAGCTGCTTTATTTGTCGTGTCAGAACAACCAGTCTAACAGAACAAAGCAAACAAACAGAAAAATACACAACTTGTGAGTTTGGTAGCTGGTTAAATGTCCTTTGACCAGTATCTGGCCACTTGGAGTGCTTCCGGTGTTGCTGCAAGAAGGTCCTCCATTGTGCATGTGGCAGGGCTCAGGTTGCATTGCAGCAGGTGGTCAGTGGTTTGCTCTTCTCCACACTCGCATGTCGAGGATTCTACTTTGTAGCCCCATTTCTGAAGGTTGGCTCTGCATCTCGTGGTGCCAGAGCGCAGTCTGTTCAGCGCCTTCCAAGTCGCCCAGTTTTCTGTGTGCCCAGGGGGAGTCTCTCATTTGGTATCAGCCATTGGTTGAGGTTCTGGGTTTGAGCCTGCCACTTTTGGACTCTCGCTTGCTGAGGTGTTCCAGCGAGTGTCTCTGTAGATCTTAGAAAACTATTTCTAAATTTAAGTTGTTGGCGTGCTGGCTGATACCCAAACAGGGGATGAGCTGGAGATGTCTCTGCCTTGGTCCTTTCACTATTGGCTGCTACTTCCCGGCGGATGTCAGGTGGTGCAATACCGGCTAAGCAGTGTAATTTCTCCAGTGGTGTAGTGCGCAGACACCCCGTGATAATGCGGCATGTCTCATTAAGAGCCACATCCACTGTTTTAGTGTGGTGAGATGTGTTCCACACTGGGCATGCATACTCAGCAGCAGAGTAGCACAGCGCAAGGGCAGATGTCTTCACTGTATCTGGTTGTGATCCCCAGGTTGTGCCAGTCAGCTTTCGTATGATATTGTTTCTAGCACCCACTTTTTGCTTGATGTTCAGGCAGTGCTTCTTGTAGGTAAGAGCACGGTCCAGAGTGACTCCCAGGTATTTGGGTGCGCTGCAATGCTCCAGTGGGATTCCTTCCCAGGTGATCTTCAGAGCTCGGGATGCTTCTCTGTTCTTGAGATGAAAGGCACATGTCTGTGTTTTAGATGGGTTAGGGATCAGCTGGTTTTCCCTGTAGTAGGCAGTAAGAGCACCTAGAGCTTTGGAGAGCTTCTGTTCTACAGTCTCAAAGCTCCCTGCTTGAGCAGTAATGGCACGATCATCAGCATAGATGAAGCTCTCTGTCCCTTCTGGCAGTGGCTGGTCATTTGTGTAGATGTTGAACATGGATGGAGCAAGCACGCTCCCCTGAGGCAGGCCATTCTTCTGTTTCCGCCATCTGCTTCTCTGGCCCTGAACTCAACAAAAAAGCTCCTGTTTTGTAGCAGGTTTCCTATGAGGCGGGTGAGGTGGTAGTCCTTTGTGATATTATACATTTTTCTCAGGAGGAGGCGGTGGTTCACAGAATCATAGGCTGCTGACAGGTCTATGAAGACAGCTCCTGTGATCTGCTGCCTTTCAAAGCCATCTTCTATGTGCTGAATCAGGTTCAGCACTTGCGATGTGCAGCTTTTGCCTTTTCTGAAGCCAGCTTGCTGTGGGATCAGACAGGGGTCTACTTGCTTGTGGTTGCTTCTGAATCGAGAGGTATAGCTGCTTGATGTTGGGCAGCCCACAAGACTTTACACAACTGACTGAGTGGACTTACTCTCTTGGAGACTCCCAGTAAGATTCAGGCAAAGGACGGCTGTTAGACAAACAATTTGCTTCCTTGAGAATGGGACTTCAAGGTTCTTGCCAAATCCTGGCAGAATATTCCCAAGAATGCAGCAATAACTAGATTTTTAAAAAGAACTGTTTGCATGACTTGGGTGTAAAGAGAGTGATGTGATACAAGCGAGGAGACAAGACAGGCAGGCACACGCATGGAGAGGAACACGCACGAGGTTGCATAGTATCGTGGCGATGAGTACGCTTACCTCAATGTACACATCGTGCACATTCCCAGAAGTGCAGATGGCGACAGGGGAGGGCTGGCTCCATGACCTGGCCGACTCACTATTGCTATTTTTCTTTTAATTGCCATAGAAAAAGGAAGACAATGTGTCAGCAGGGAGTGAATGTATATTAGACTTGCTGAAAACATCTGAACAGGTTGTGGCATTGTCCAGGAAGGGAGGAGAATTAGGTCATTAACTCTGGTTGCGCAGATGGGAAAGACTCTTGGGAATTCACTCCAGGCACCGAGGACGTACGTCGTCTTCTTCCCCCGGCCCTATTTTGTCCCTGATCTTTCCTTTATGTAAAGCCCTGATGCAATCCGCTGAAACGGGCTTCCTCTTGCCAAGGCAAAGCGGCCGGGAGGCTGTTGCTTCAGCTCCTGACACTTTTAAAGAAACAGGTAACAAATGTTTTTAGTTGCAGAAAATCCCTGCTTTCTGGCCTTTTGCACATCTTGAGCTGCTGCTCCAATGCGACGCTCTGTTGTATTGGAAACAGCGGCTTTTCAAGGTTTTACAGACTTTCTGAAAAGCAAGTAGCTCTTGGATAGTTCGGGTTTCAACTGGCAAGGCATTCCATAGATAAGGGGCTACAATTGAGAAGGCTCTCTGCCTAGTAGAAGACAGATGATAAGTCCGGATGTTGGGGACATCAAGAAAATTTTGGTCTTCAGACCAAAGTAATCTCTGGGGTTGGTAGGGGGATAAGCGGACCCTCAAGTACGCCGGCCACAGACTATATAAGGCCTTAAAGGTTAGTACCAGCACCTTGAAAGTAATCCGGTACTCAACTGGGAGCCAGTGCAGCTGTTGTAGAATTGGGGTGATATGACACCTCACCGGCACCCCGGCGAGAAGATGAGCCGCCACATTTTGCATCAGCTTCAGTTTCCAGATCACTGACAAAGGAAGGCCAATGTAGACAGCGTTACAGTAGTCAAGCCTCGAGATGACCGTCGCCTGGATCACCGTAACCAGGTCGTTCCTAGATAAGTAGGGAGCCAGTCGCCTAGCCTGATGTAGATGGAAAAACGCAGATTTGCTCACAGCAGAGACCTGGGCCTCCATTGTGAGCAGAGGGTCCAATAAGACACCAAGGCTTTTTACAGAAAGTGACGGACGTAGTGTCTCGCCATCCAGGGTAGGCAGCTGGATCTCCCTCCCACCTGGACGGCCCAGCCAAAGGATCTCTGTCTTCGCTGGGTTCACCCTCAACCTGCTGGCACGCAACCATCCAGTAACGGCTTCAAGGCACTGATGGAAATTTTCGGGTACAGAGTCCGTCCAGTCCTCCATCCTCGGAATGAGCTGAGTGTCATCAGCGTACTGGTGGCACTCAAACTCAAAGCTCCGCACCAAATAAAGGGATCACAAGCCAAAACTGGGCAAAGGTGACCACATTGTAGCTTTAAACAGTTCTTCCTCTGTGCGTGAGGCAGGGCATTGTGGGCAAGCATACAAGTGTTAGGTTGTTTGTTCTACTCCACAGTCACACAAGGTGGAGAATTCTTCTAGGTCGTGCCATTTTGCCAGGCTGACTTTTGATCTGACATTCAGGGTTGGCTTGACACTCCTTCCTCTTGGCATGTTTCTCCCTTTTGCCCTCTTTGAATTCTGCAGTACTGCTGGTCGCAGTTGACCTCCAGCTAGAGTGCTTAAGGGCAAGGGCTTCCCAGTTCTCAGTGTCTATGCCACAGTTGTCTGAATGTATCTCTACTTATGAACCCTAGGAATTTAATATCTTCTGGGGAGGCTCCGCTCTCAGCCCTGCCATCTTCACAGTCCCGATTGGCGGGGACGAGGGATAGGGCCTTCTCAGCAGTGGCCCCTCGGTTGTGGAATGCCCTCCCCAGGGACATTAGATCAGCCCCCACCCTCTTAACGTTTCACAAAAAAAGTTAAAACCTGGCTATATGAGCAGGCCTTCCCAAACGCAGTGTAGCTATGAAACTCTGATCTCGGAACGGCTGGGCAATGTGACTGTATAATGACTGATTAATGAGATGCGGAGGAGTTATGGTTTTTTATTATGCTTATTGATGTTAATTGTAATGAATTTTTTAAATCTATGTTAAATGTTTTTAATGTTTAAACTATTTTTGTACTGTTGTGGGCATCGAATTGTGCCGTTTTGTAAACCGCCATGAGTCACCCTCAGGCTGAGAATGGCGGTATAGAAGCATAGTAAACAAACAAACAAACAAACAAACAAATAAATAAGATTAGCTTTAAGCCCATCTTTAAATCTCTTTTCCTGTCCACCAACATTACATTTCCCATTCTTGAGTTGGGAGTAGAGCAACTGCTTTGAAAGATGGTGATCTGGCGTTTGGACAAAGTCCAGCGGAGTTGATGGTGTAGGAGCATTGTTTCAGTGCTGGTGGTCTTTGCTTTTTCCAGCACACTGACATTTGTTTGCTTGTCTCCCCAAGAGATTTTCTGTATTTTTGAGACAACGCTGATGGAATATTTCCAGGAGTTGAGTGTGACATCTGTAGATCATTCACGTTTCGCAGGCATATAGCAGGGTTGGGGGGAGGGGGGTGGCAATAACTTTATAAACAAGGCCCTTGGTCTCCCTACGGATGTCCCGATTCTCAAACACTCTCTGCTTCATTCGGAAAAATGCTGCACTTGCAGAGCTCAGGCGGTGTTGTATTTCAATGTCAAGCAAGCACCTTAGTGTCTCTACGGATGTCCCAGTCCTCAAACACACTCTGCTTCATTCAGAAGAATGCTGCACTTGCAGAGCTCAGGCAGTGTTGTATTTCCGTGTCAAGCACCTTGGTGTCTCTATGGATCTCCCAATTCTCAAACGCTCTCTGCTTCATTCGGAAAAATGCTTCACTTGCAGAGCTCAGGCAGTGTTGTATTTCAGTGTCATGCACCTTGGTGTCTCTATGGATCTCCCAGTTCTCAAACACTCTCTTCTTCATTTGGAAAAACGCTGCACTCGCAGAGCTCAGGTGGTGCTGTATTTCATTGTCAAGCACCTTGGTGTCTCTATGGATCTCCCGATTCTAAAAAACACTCTCTGCTTCATTTGGAAAAATGCTGCACTTGCAGAGCTCAGGCGGTGTTGTATTTCAGTGTCAAGCACCTTGGTGCCTCTATGGATCTCCCAATTCTCAAACGCTCTCTGCTTCATTTGGAAAAAACATTGCACTCGCAGAGCTCAGGTGGTGGTGTATTTCAGTGTCAATGTTGACTTTTGTGGAGAGGTGGCTGTAAAGGTAACAGAAATAGCCAACATTTTCTGGTGTTACACCATTAAGCTGTATTTCTGTATGAGACACTCCTAGGACAGAGCTAATGGATGTAAAGATGGAAGCTTTGCTGACCTGGGAGGTGTTTCCCAAGTCGACAAGCCAGTGCTTGAAGGGTTGGGATGAGACACTCCTAGGACAGAGGGATTGGCTGGTGCTTGCTGGAAGAGCACTTTGGTTATCTCCATGTCCAATGAGAGGCTGAGCTTCTCGTTTGCTTCTGCAAAGGTGTTTAGAGGGGCTAGGAGGTCCTCTTCTGAATGCGCACAGACTACATTATCATCGGCATATTGGAGTTCTATAACAGATGTTGTTGCGACCTTGATTTTGGATTTCAGTCTACTGAGGTTAAATAACTTAATATTATGACACTATTGCCATGATCATAAATGCCCCCAGGTCTAATTAACTGCTGTTGTTTGGCTTTTTTTTTTTTGCTCCTAGGTCGTCCCTTTCCCAATGTCCTGCGACCTGCAAGGTGATTGCGCTTGCCTTGATCCTGATGCTCAAGAGCACAAAGAGCAGAATCATCGGCATGGTTTCAGCTTTGGATAATCCACAGTGCCCAAGGAATGCCAAAGTCAGGCAAGGAAGAGGCATCATTGTATCCCCTCCACTCCTTCTTTTTGTTGGTTTTGTTCCCAAACTGTTTTGGCTGCTCAACTCCAATGGTGTCACTCCACCAGGTCATTTAGAATTCAACCAGACTGCCTTTACTTTACTTTTCCCTCGGAGAACTGATATACCTGGGAGGGGGGAGGATGTTATTGTATTAACTGTATTCTACTTGCAAGATCAAGCAAAATGACAAACAAACAAAAAACAGCAAAAAAAAAGTTGAGTGAAAGAGGAGCTTTAAGCGTCTGGGTGGAAAAAGAAAGAGAAGAAAGAGAGAGAAGCATGAATTGCGCAGTTCCGCATCCATCATGATGAAACCGCGCCTGGTAGAAGTCATGAATTTGTACATCATTTTGGGTTCAGTTTTGCTTTGCTTTCCTTCCAGAATAAGGCAAGACAAAAGCCATATATAAATATATATATATTTACCTACTATTTATGGAAAGGAATTAGGGAGAGGGAGAAAGAAAAGAGGGTACCATTGCTCTTCTCCAATGTTCACAGCCCTCAAAATATCTTGTCAAAGGATTGGACTTCGGCGTCCTTGGTGCTGAATGCTTCCATGAGCTTCTCTATGGGTGGTGCTCCCAGTGAGCAAATTGAGAGAAGGTGAGGAGGGTTAGAAAGGATGAATGTTGACTATGTTGACCTTGGAGATGTTTCCTGAGTTGACAAGCCGGTGTTTGGTGGGTTGGGATGAGACACTCCTAAGAAAGAGCTAAGGGATGGAAAGATGGAAGCTTTGCTGACCTGGGAGGTGTTTCCCGAGTTGACCATCAAGCACTTGGTAGGTTGGGGTGAGGCACTCCTAGGGCAGAGCTAAGGGATGGAAAGATGGAAGCTTTGCTGACCTGGGGGATGTTTCCTGAGTTGACCATCAAGCACTTGGTAGGTTTGGGTGAGACACTCTTGGGACAGAGCTAAGGGATGGAAAGATGGAAGCTTTGCTGACCTGGGAGGTGTTTCCCGAGTTGACCAGCAAGCACTTGGTGGGTTGGGATGAGACACTCCTAGGACAGAGCTAAGGGATGGAAAGATGGAAGCTTTGTTGACCTGGGAGGTGTTTCCTGAGTTGACAAGCAAGCGCTTGGTGGGTTGGGATGAGACACTCCTAAGAAAGAGCTAAGGCATGGAAAGATGGAAGCTTTGCTGACCTGGGAGGTGTTTCCTGAGTTGTCAAGCAAGCGCTTGGTGGGTTGGGATGAGACACTCCTAAGACAGAGCTAAGGGATGGAAAGATGGAAGCTTTGCTGACCTGGGAGGTGTTTCCTGAGTTGACCATCAAGCACTTGGTAGGTTGGGGTGAGACACTCCTAGGACAGAGCTAACGGGTGGAAAGATGGAAGCTTTGCTGACCTAGGAGGTGTTTCCTGAGTTGACAAGCAAGTGCTTGATGGGTTGGGGTGAGACACTACTAGGACAGAGCTAACGGATGGAAAGATGGAAGCTTTGCTGACCTGGGGGGTGTTTCCCGAGTTGACCATCAAGCGCTTGGTGGGTTGGGATGAGACACTCCTAGGACAGAGCTAAGGGATGGAAAGATGGAAGCTTTGCAGACCTAGGAGGTGTTTTCTGAGTTGACCAGCAAGCGCTTGGTGAGTTGGGATGAGACACTCCTAGTATAGAGCTAAGGGATGGAAAGATGGAAGCTTCTGACCAAGGTTGAAAGACTGAAGGCTCACTGCACAGGAACAGAAACGAAGACGAGAAGGAAGTAGAAGAAGAAGGTCAAACAAACCTCCATACTGCTGCTGCTACTCCTGCTGCTGCTACGTCCCATACAACTCATTCCTTTACTGTGTCAGGAACAGGGTGCTGTTCATTCTCTGAAACAACCAAACGGTCTGCCTTAAACCTCTTTACCTACTGCCTGCTTTCCAAATCTCCGTGGGTGTTTTGTTTGTTCCTCCTCAAAGGCAAGAAGGGTCAAGGAGGGGGGAAATAAGATGCTAGCCAGAGGAAACCAACAAAAACATTGCCCAAAATGACATTTCTGCGGACCAATTCTTCCGCTGTTCTTTTTGTTCCATCATATTTTTTTATCCAGTACTTAATTTTTCACACATTTTTGTTTTGCATTTAGATAGTGACATCCTAAGCCCAGGTTGAAAATGGACACCATTATATTTGACATAAGCTTTTATGACCACCATCTGATGTTGGAAGGTGGAATCTATGTAAGCTCATGCCAAATAAAACTTGTTAGCTATGTCAGTGGTTCCCAACCTGTGGGTCATCAGATGTTTTGGTCTTCAACTCCCAGAAATCCTAAACTGGCTGGGATTTCTGGGAGTTGTAGGCCAAAACACCTGGGGAGCCACAGGTTGAGAACCACTGGTCTATGATGACACAAGACTTTGACTGGAACCTTTTTGGTGAATAGAAACTACGCCAGTACAAGTACCGTTTTGAGCATTGTGCAAAGGGGTGTCCACTCGAGTGCCATTTTGTGGAGTACTTTTGCTTCATCTGCAAAATGGCTTGAGGTGCTGCTCCATCTCTTCACTCAAATGGCCATTCATTATCCATGAAGGTGCATGAGGATGTTCTCGGAAGGCTTCCTTGAGCAGTTGCCTTGGTAGGCATCTGGATCTCTGTGGGCCCATCCAGACAGTACCTTTATCCTGGGAGATCCCGCATCAAAATGGAGGGTGGCCAAATGACGTCCCCTGAAAACACAGGAGCAATCACTACAAAGCCTAAAAAACATGAGCTTTTCAGGTGCAGGAACATCCTGCTTTGGCCAGAAAATGTGGATATTCGAATTTCTATTCGAATATCCAGAAAATGCGGATATTCGAATGTCCGTACACTCAGAAAATATGGGATTTTCTAAATGTTGGTTTGTTCCTGGGTTATGCATGTCGGTTCCTGTTTGGTTGTATCCTAAAAGCATAGCAACAGTTGAGGAGAGGGTGAAAACTTTATCCTGGCAAGAGTAAATTAGTCCTCCGCACATTTAATGAAGTTTGTAACACACAAAGTTTTTGCCATGTAATCCCCTTTTCCCATGTTTTCATGATAAAAGCAATCAGGAACAGATAGGTATAACCCAGGAACAGAACCCCATAGTTCCCAGGCACAGGTAGATGGCCAAACTTGTCTGCACAGATGGCCACGCAGACTCTGTAACCCAGGAATGGAACTTATACAATAATTCACATATTTATATCTTAAGTTTTTTTAAAAAAAACTGCCAAAATTTCCAGCGGATGTCCCGCGGTAGCCATCTTGGGGACTGCAAAATCCCAGGACAAAGTAGCAAGTGTAAACAACTGGGGCAGAAACTCCAGGACCAAAAGGTCTGTATGTGGACCTCTTTTCAGGTCCTATCTCTTTTTTAGTAGATAGGAAAGAGGGTGTATGGTATAGAGTAGTGTAATACTTCTCATATAGGTATTCAATTTATCCACATTTCACATAAGTATACTCTTAACATGTGGTATACTTAACATAAAGCTGTCCATATAGGTAACGCTTACTCTAATTTTACAGTAGTAGTCGTTTTGGTTCTGTAGAACAATTGAAGTCCAAAAATGGTCTTATTGCCGTCTTAAATTTGTTCTAAAGTCTTCATAGAGTCAAAAAAACAGATTAAAGTACACATAAAAGTTCAAATTCTTCAAATAAGTGAAGATGATGTGGAATTACTCTTGGATAAGTCCTTTTACACAGGGTTGTAGTTTCAGTCCTTTATTATTGTTGTTGTTTCTGGGTGTCAGGGATGGCCAAGTAATCTAAGTTAAGTATGCATTGTTAACCTAATTTGAAACCTTGGTTACACTCTTATCTTATCAAGTTTATCAATCTTATCAAGTTTGGAGTAAAATTGTGTGAGGTATACCACATGTTAAAGAGTATAGGTAAGGTAAAGGTTGTCCCCTGACATTAAGTCCAGTCATGTCTGACTCTGGGGTGTGGTGCTCATCTCCATTTCTAAGCCGAAGAGCCGGCGTTGTCCATAGACACCTCCAAGGTCATGTGGCCGGCATGACTGCATGGAGCGCCGTTACCTTCCCGCCGGAGCGGTACCTATTGATCTACTCACATTTGCATGTTTTCGAACTGCTAGGTTGGCAGAAGTTAAGAGTATACTTATGTGAAATGTGGATAAATTGAATACCTATATGAGAAGTATTACACTACTCTATACCATACAACCTCTTTCCTATCTACTGTATATTATAGACATCTGTGCATTTAGTTAGTTGGGTTTTTTTCTTTTTTTGCCACAACTAAAATCCGCAATTTGGTGCTGTCTGGAAGCACCCTGTTAAACTTCTCCAGCTCCAAAACAGGATTTCAAGTTTTGCAGTAACAAACAAACATAGCTGCTCCAGGAAAATGACGTCTTCCAAAATTGGGGAAGGGGCTTGCTACAAATCCTTTACCTTTGTAGAACCCTTGTCACAGTATTAATGTCTCAAACAGAACCCCCTTCTTGTGTGAGACAAGTAATTAAGACTTTCCTCACCCAACTACTTCAATATTGTCATTTCTAGACTCAGTCTCTTCCTTTTCACCAAGGCATTGGGCTCCTTGTGCAGTTCTTGCTGCTAGAACCTCATCATCTGCACATCGAGGCCTATGTTCAGCTTGGGGCTCCAACCAATATGTGAAAGACATTCCCTTTGGCTATGTCAAAAAAGTAAAGGATTAAGGATTAAAAGTCATTTTAGGAACATAAAACACGCGAAATATAATATGTCTTAGCACTGGTGGGTATCAGTATGCTCTTGGGGATGTAGTAACTAGAACAGTGGTTATCAAACTCGTGTCTTCGAGGTGTCATATATGAACATTGGTCAAAGTGGTGGAGGCTGCTGGGAGGTACGAGAATAATAATAATAATAATAATAATAATAATAATAATAATAATAATATAACACCTTATGTATATTCCACCTTTCTCCTTGAGGATTAAAGTATATAAACAGACCCAGGAAAATATTCAATGCCTTGTTACAGTGACATACAATGAGACACAAATACACAGGCAAAGGCTTCTCCTTTCATTTCTGGCTCTGGAGGAAGTGCTCATCTCCGTCTCTGGAGAAGGTACTTTTTCTCCATTTCCAAGCCGATGAGCCTGTGTCCATGGACACCTCCTGGTTGTGTGTCCAGTATGACTGCTTGGAGTGTCCTTTTGCCTTTTCCCACCCAAGTGATATGTATTAATTAAAAAAAAGACACTCCAAGCAGTCGTGCCGGCCACACGATCAGGAGGCGTCTACGGACACAAGCTCATCGGCTTGGAAACCGCCCTGAGTCACCTAAAGGCCCTGAGTTGCCTAAGAGAAGGGCAGTATACAAATATAGTAAATAAATAAATAGTCTCACAAATCACTCCCAACAAAAGATTCCCCCCAGGCACTTCCAAGCCATTAAATGCTAATCAAGGTGGTCAGTTGAAACATTCACACCTAGCTCCAGCAGACGAAAGTCTTTTGTCCCACCCTGGTCATTCCACAGATA